CCGATTTATATATGCAGTTTTTTGGTGAAAGCTTTGTAAAATTTTTTACAAATTATGGTTATGATAAAATTTTACGTGTTGCTGGAAGACATTTTCGAGACTTTCTTCATTCAATTGATCAATTACATGATTCAACTAGATTTAGTTTTCCAAAAATGAAATCACCATTATTCCATGTTACTGAAGAAGATGATAATGGTGCTATTTTACATTATAAGTAATATAGGAAAACTTATTTTGTAATAAAGAAAAAAGACTATTCTTTATTTTTTCTTTATCTTTAAGATCAAAACGTCGTGGTTTTCAACGATATATAGTTGGACAATTAAAAGAATGTGCGCTAAGATTTTTTAAAGAAGAAATATTTGTTCGTATTCAAGATGATATATCAACAAATGAATGTAAGAATTTGACGTTTATTTAGAAAAACAACAACAACAAAGAAATTTTTTTTACCTAGATAGTCATATTGTTTTTCGTGTGGATTTTGATAATTACATGGCTCGTTCAATAGAGAGACGTCTTATGCAAGGTCTAAAATTGCCTGATCTGACAGGCGCAACATTTTTTAAAGTAAGAAAAAAAATCGGCGTTCTTTTATCTACAGGAGGTTATTTGAGAAATAAAAAAAAATAATATATATGCAAGTAATAAAGCTAAGACTTCTAAAAAGATGCCTCCGATATTATTGAGGTTAACATGTCTATGAATTACCTTGCAAGATCAAATGACCTTTTTTTTTCTTTCCTAGATATTTCCATTTGCTATTTTACTTGATCCACAAATGCGCATATTTCATATGGGACGTTCAATAAGAAATGTTTTTCCTGCTGATACAGTACTAATCGGTCGTTTTCTAGAAGATGTATTTCGTCTGATTCGACCAGATATTCTACTTGAATATAACAAGGTTTGTTTCATTTTTGACTTTTGCTAAAGAAAAAAATAATAATTATGTAAGTATTTTTCTCAGGTACTTTCATACGGCCGACATATTGTATTTGTTATTGAAAGTAAAGTTCCACTTCATACAAATTCATCAACATATGCGAAAAAATTTGGTTCAAATAATTCTTTAATACGTCTTAAAGGACAAATGAAACTAATAACAGCTTGGAATATGATTGCTTTTCTTTGTCATCCAATGCATGTTTTAACACCATATCTAATTTTCTTATAAATTAATTTTTTTCATTTAGATTAGCAACAACAGAAGACATGCTTGCTGTTGGCTTATATTTACATGATTTAAATTATTATGATGGTAGTAGTGAAATTCTTATTGCTGGTATGCAACATGCTCGAACATTACAAGCAGCTATAGATAAACAACATGCATGGATAACAAAATTACAAAGTTCAAAATTAGAATTACAAGAATGGCGTCGAAAAGGCAAACGTCTTTTATATTCGATGATGCCAAGACATGTTGCACATATGCTACAAGATGGTGTTTTAGCTAATTCAATATGTGAAGTAAAAACAGCAAGAAAAAAAAAGAGAAATGAATCATTTATAAAAAAAAGGAAAATTTATTCGTTTATTTTAGTCTCATAAATTAATAACTGTTTTGTTTGGATATTCAATTGATTTTAAAGATATTATACAAAAATTAACTCCTCAACAAATTATTGAATCAATCAATGCTACAGTTATTGCATTTGATCATTGTGCAGAACATTTTGATGTATTTAAAGTTGAAACAAAAGCTGATTCATCATATATGGTAGTAGCTGGGATACAAGATCGTCAAGTACAACCAAAACGGCGTGAATCTGCTGCAGTATAGTGTTTTATCCTTGAAATATCAATTAATATATTTCCTTTTTATTTAAATAGAGTCATTCAACGACGTATAGTGTTTCAGTAACGGATGAATTAGGATCTGAAATGAAAAATCCATTAGGTCTTAATCAAGCAGAGATCGTTGCTGGCCTTGCGCTTGAATTAGTAAAAAGTTCTAAAAAACTTATAAATTCTGTTACAAAACAACCATTTCGAGTTAAATTTGGTAGAAAATTTTTGCTTCCTGTTTATCTATATTCACTGTTAAGGAAGAAATTTCTTTTTTTTTTTCAATAGGTTTTCATTCTGGTCCAGCTGTTGGCGGAATCGTCGGTGCAAAAAATTTTCAATATTGTCTATTTGGTGATACAGTAAATACAGTAAGTTATAAAAGTTCGTAATTGAGTCGAAAATATATTTTTATGTTATTGTTTTTGTAGTATTTTTGAATCATTTTTATTTTAATGTTTTTTTTTTCTCTGTTTCAGGCTAGTCGAATAACAACAACAGGAGAAGTAAACGATGCTTATATAATGATATTTAATTTTTTTTGTATTTTTAGCCAGGTAAAATTCATTTAAGTAGCGCATCACATGCACTTTTAAAAGACTCATTATATTTTCAACTACAATATAGAGGAAAAACAGAATTAAAAGTAAAAAACACACATTTTTTTTTCTTTTTAATTGAAATTAAAATTTTAGGGTAAAGGTTCATATGAAACGTATTGGTTAATTGGTCCCACAGCAGCGTATCTATCTGCTCTCAATGAAGCTAGATTCGATGATAATGATGAAGAACAACATATCAGACCTAGTTTGCAACAAATACCTAGGTTTGAAAATGATAGTCAAATAAATTCTAATCATACATCTGATGATTATATTAAAACAATGCGACGACCATCAGTTTTAAATGTTATTAATAAACAAACATCAACTACTAATGGTCAATGTCCGTTTAGTCAACAAATAATTGAAATTGCACCACCTGTAAATGCTAAAGACTAAGAGATTATCTGCTTGTAGTTTTGTGTTGTGTCTATTGGTTATTGTATGAAAAATAAATTTACGCGAAGAAGAAACAATGATGAAAGACAGACTTTTCAACTGATGTTTAGACATGTGTAACATAAAGGTCATTTTAATAAGTCCTGACTACTGTTCTAATGAAGAGAAAATTGTTTTATAATATAATAAATAAAAAATTTTTAACGCTGCATTCTTTGATTTTACTCTTAGTTCTCATTTGACATTCACTCTTTAATCTCAACTTCGAGGTATCTTTTCCTAATCCTTCATGAGTATTGAATTTTTCAAAAACATTCATTCTTTCATTCAATCAGAGTTTACATAAATATACATATATATATATTAAATAGACAAATCGAAGTGATACATAGATTTGTATATTAAAATAGAAAGACTTAGGCAATAAAATAACGTAATTTCCTTTTTATTATAGCTATAGTTTAATTTGATCATAATTCGTTTAGACAAAACATGAATTATGATATATTGTGTTATTTTTTTCTTCCTATCTATTGACACTTATTTAATATTGACTCATCAAAAGATAGAAAATCATATTGACAACAAGAAACATCAATCTAGATGTGCATACCTACCTACCAACCAACTAATTACACGATACGCATCATTAAATTTTCGATTTTCTCTGACATGCAACAATCATACGTAAAAGACATAATCAAAAAAATCTTTATATTGTGTAGTTTTTCGTTAACTATTTTTGTTAAACTAAGATGATGTGAATTTGATTGAAATAATATGTCTGTTTTATAATTAGTCATTACCATGATTATGATAATCAGCATCTGCGCCGATCATATTCATGTTATTTAACACGCATGATCGTTCACCTTTATATATAATTTTAGTGTTTTACTGTTTTTCTTTTTGCTTCTTCCTTTTCCTTCTTACAACAATATTGCGTATTACATTTATAATTATCTCTAATGTTAGTTGTCAAACCATATGTTTTTAAAAACGATAATAAAAATTATTATAAAAAAAATAAGATAGTAAAAAAATATGATCAAATAAATCCAGCTTATAGAGCAAATCATAATTATGATCTTCGTTTAATTATTCTCCGTCATGGTGAACGTATTGATCAAAGTCTTGGTCATGATTGGTATGATAAAGTATTTGCTGGTATTCCATCAGCACCTCCACAAGCTTACAAACATAAATCATTACCGTATCGATTACCATATCGGTCAAATACTTTGCTCTATGTATTTGATCCACCACTATCACGTACAGGTGAACTTCAATCTTATTATAAAGGACAACAATTAGCACAATTAGGTGCAACAGTTGATTATTGTTATGCATCACCTGCATCACGTAGTATTCTTACAGCAAATGCAATTTTAAAAGGTATGAATTGTAGCCATATACCAATGCGTCTTGAACCTTATTTATTTGAACCGATGAATTGGAATTCAGCGTTATTATTACTTGATAAAATAAGTCCATTTATGTCAACAGGTGATTGGAAACAAACAGGTTATAATATTGATCAACGTTATCAACGTCTTAGTAATTATTTAAATCCATATGAAACTGAAATAGATTATTATCATCGAAGTCGAGAATTTTTCGAATCAATTGAACGTCATCATAGTAAAATATTATCTCCGACTTATAGAAAACTTATTCCAAGACGACATACAACTATACTTATTGTTGGTCATGCATCATCAACAGAAATGCTTTCAACTATTGCATTAAGAAAACAATTTAATGCAAAGAGTTTTGCTGATCAATGTGCTAAAGTTCCATATTTGCATACAACTATTCTCGAACGTGATGCAATCAGTCGTCAGTGGAATATACATCGTGTTATGAATCTTGTTTAGAATTTTGTAAAACAAAACTATGTTTTAAACATTTAAATAAAATAACAAAAGAAATGTCAAGAATCCTATGATAAACTGTCATTCATGACGATATATATACATACACATATCTATTGTATGTGTCCATGAAAAAGAGAAAAAGACAACCTTGAATATTGTGCAAACATTGCTTACTTTCTCTCGAAATTAAAGAGAAGAAAAAGTAGGCATGTTTTTACACTATACAGGTGTTTTTAGGTATATACATAATAAAATGAGAAAAACGTAATAAGAATAGTTAAAAAAAAGTCAATGTTATTCATATGAAATAATCAGTCATAGATCGGCAATGAGCGCGACAACAAACGATGATAATTTGTTACCAGTGGGTGTTGATTCTCTATCAGATTATACACCACATAAACTTCATCTTCTATTGGCATTACCTATACCTGTTAGTATAGAAACATCATCAAATAATAATAATAATAATAATAATAATAATAATAATAATAATAATAATAATAATGATAATAATGATAATTCTCCAAATGTATCAAACCAATCATCAAATAAACCGAAAAAATCATCAAAAAAAACAAATTTAATACGTTATTTTATACCAATAACTCGTATTCGTGCTTCATCAGCACCTAATGAACGAGATAACAAATATCGACCGAAAACATCAATGAAATCTATCGATCAATGTGACATGCGTCTTTTTATTATCAGACATGGTGAACGAGTTGATCGTTATTTTGGTCCTAATTGGTATATGTTGGCTTTTGATCAACAAAATCAATATCGTCCTTATCATCGAAATTTTCCTCCACACTTACCTCATCGAACAAATCAATTATTTTGGGCACTTGATACACCATTAACATTATCTGGTTTGAATGCTGCAAAAAGACTTGGTCGAATCTTTGCTTCCAAAGATTTTAAACCAAATTATATTTATTCATCACCAGCTATGCGTTGTATATTAACAACAATGCAAATTTTAAAAGGTCTTGATTTAGAAAATAAAATACCAATTCGTATTGAACCAGGTTTATTAGAATTAGGTGCTGCAAGATTTGGTATGAATATTTTTTATCAACCAATAGATTGGGTTAAATATGGTATTAATATTGATTTATCTTATAAACCTATAATAACAAATATTCCTGCATTTGAATATGAAAATACATATTATCTTCGTTCAAAACATGTTATACGTGAAATTGAAAAACTTCATAATGATCCATCATTGCCGTTAGTTAATATTCTAATCATTGCTCATGCAACGTCTCCAGAAACATTAACATGGGATTTAATTGGAAAAGAACCGAATGTCAATGATTTATATCAGCTTTCATTAAAGATTGCTTATTTACAAACGGTTATAACTGAACGTAAACAAGAAAATAAACTATGGTCTGTAAAATCAGGACGATGGATTTAAATTTGTCTTTCGTTTTTCTGTTGGTCAATTTTTTTTCTTTGAATGTCTTCTCTCTGTACAGACACATACACATTTAAAAACATGACAATAACTGAAGTTTACGAAAAAAAAGAAAAAGAAAAAGGAAACATATGTGAAAGTCGAGAAAGAAAAACCGTAGACTTTCTATCGATAATGTTGTTGCCAAACAGCGGCTGCTTCTTCATGTGCACTATTCCAATAGGTTTGTTGAGCATTAGAAAATTGTCCTTTAGATGAATTTGTCGTTGATGCACCATATTGTTGAAAAAATCTTTGCATCATATCTGTATTTGCTGTTTGACCATATTGTTGATGATAATGTGAATGAGCAGGTGATGTACCATAGGTTGTTAATGTACGTAAACTACTATGATCTGGTTTCGCTCGTTTAAATGTTGATGAAGGATAATCACCAATAGCAGATAGTTTATTTTTTGGTTCAGCTGGTCCAACTGTTACACTACAACCTAAATAAGAATGTAAGAGAGAAAAAAAAACATAGAATTGAAAATGAATTCAATTAAGATAATTTACCATGAATAATATGTGTACCAAATAATGTTCGTACAATATTTGAATCATGAAATGTAACAAATGCAAATGAACGTACTGGTTTTGGTATATAAACATCTTTAATTGGTCCATATTTTGAAAAATATTGTCGTAAATCATCTGGTGTGATAGTATCAGGTAAACGAGCAACAAAGATTTTTCGAGCATATTCAGGTTCATGTGCACTTGTCTAAAAACAAACGTTAAAATAGCATTTATGTTTATAGATGATAATGAAAAAATATATACGATCTATTCATGATTTTTCTTTCATTATGAATACTTTATGAAATATTCTTACTTTAGAATCAGGAATTTTAACATCAACATGTCGTCCATCAATAAAATGTCGTTTATTAATAACAGCCAATTGTGATTCATAATTTTTAAATCGAATAAAACCGAATCCACGTGACTGCCCATTTGCATCCCGTTTAATCTTTTTTTTTAAAATAAACAAAATTCAAATGTTTTAAATAGTTTTTTTTAGATTTCTTGTACCTCACAAAATACAAGTTCACCAAAAACTTCAAAACATTTTTTAACATCAGCTTCAAGACTTCGATAACTTATTCCGAGAACAATTAAATCCACACAACGATGATCTGGTTCATTTTCACTTTCATTATTAGTTTCTTGTCCATAATCAAGTCTTTGAGTTATAGTTTGTCCTAATGTTGATATTGCTGATTCTTCTTGTTGTTCACCAACATCTTTCCGTTTAATATCCGATGAAACAGCTATTTAAATAAAAATGAATCAATTTTTTCTTATTTATATAAATTGCTCACTTACGTTTTGAGTAAACAGTAATATAAACCGTATCTCGATCCCAAACACCATCTGGATGATAAAGTTTTCCATCTGCTACTCGAACACTTAGAAATAAAAACAAATAAAACAATAATTGATTTCTTTAGACCAAGAAAAAACAAACGCAAAATGGGAGGGGGCTATAACCACCGCACATTTCACTCAATACACATAAAATACATTAATTAAATATAATAAAGAACAAACACGTTCACTCACCCTCTCCACACACTCGTCTCAGAATTCCGATATTTTAATGCACTCACACCTTGAAATTGAGCAGCGAGTGTACTCAATGAAACTGAACCATCAATACCACCATCAATTGGAATTTCGACTATTTCAGTTTTGGAATTCGATTCATCAGCGACACGTATAAACATGATTCGTCCTTTAGTTTTTAATGATGAAAAGAGGAAGATAATATACAACAAGGATATGTGTATAGATAGTTATCTAAACGATCAGAAAGGATTGAATATTTTATATACTACAATATACTACAAAAAAGAATAAATCAACTAGAAAACTAGCCGGTTGATGAGATCAAGGACTGGAAGAGAAAACAAGCAAGCTTATCTTTTTTAATCATAAAAAAAAATTACAGTCAATAAGGGATTTAGCCAACAGACGTCGCTATAAATCATAAATAATGACGCGAATTTTTTGCATAAACTATATAAATCAAAGATAGGAAAAACTGTTAACAGTTGACAAGTATACAAAAATCAAGTTTTTCATAGGATAAAAAAAAAATGTTTGCTTTATTAGGAATTATAAACTGATACTTGCCAAACTAGCACATACTACAATTATCATCTGATGTGTTGACAAGAAAATGAAAGAAAATAAACATAAGAGACGAGATTAAATCGTAATTTTTTCAGAACCAAACGATCAAATTTTCAAAAGAAAAGTTCAAATCAAATCGATGTCGATTCGATTGGGTTCGGTTCGAAATGCAATCGATTAGATATTTCATAAACGACAGTTTTTTTTCAACTAACATGCTCAGGATGAAGAAAACAAAATCCGTATACAATCATATTTTGGTGATATGACCTTCTTCAATATCACAATCGCCTGTCAATGTATCGTTTGCGGCGAAATATAACCGTAGACGACGATAGTTACGTCCATAAATAGTCGTATTTCTTTGCATACAATACGAAGAAATATGATCGTAATATTATACCATGTAATAGACTAATATACGACGCCTAATAGTCGTTTTGAACATGTATCTGTTTGAAATGAGTAAATTATTGATTATATTTAGGTCACAGTAGTACTATGATCTGAATATAATTAATAATTTATTAATACATGCAACTTTCGAAGGTTCGCAATGAAAATATAGTTTTTCAGCAGCGTGTACATATTCGTTGACTTTATTTTCTTTTTGAAACATGTATAAAAACAGTTTCTATTTTAGATTTAACAGGTGTTTCGTACATTTTACCTAGTGATTGTCATAGATTTCTCCTTAGTTTAACTGGTTTTTGTTCTATTCTGATTTTCTGACAATATGAAGAATAAAAAAAAGAAACAATGTATTGATTAAAATCTCTGAAGTAATACATGTCGGAGAGTTATACGATGTTCGATATCTTGTAACGTTTTTCTTTCGTTTATTTTAAACATAGATTAAAATCATGTTTGAACTAACATATGATATAAAAGTAATGAGTCTAATGTCGCCCCCTATTTCTCTTCGAGAGAAAGGTGCTGCAGGCTACAGCAATACTTTATTTATCAGAAGATAGAGAGTTTTTATTTCTTTTGAGTAGTAGATAATTTAGTTTTACAACACGTTCATAAATGAAACCTTACAAGAGAAACGAGAAACACACTCAAAACAGATTTGCACATTCATATAATGCAGAATAACAATGTAAAATATAAATCCCTATATCTCTTTAGAAAACATATATTGGAACAATAATTTTTTTATCAGCTGGTAGAAAATGCCCATCTTGTTCGAACTATATATAACTTAGTTTTGTTTCATATTCATAAACAAAATGACACGAGAAGAAACCGAAATACTCACGCACTGTATTTACAATTTCAATATTGATTCATCAAATAAATTATGTTAAACGACAGTTAGCTTTCGTATGAAGCAAGTCATTTTAAGAACAACGATTTATAACATATGAATCGAATATTTGAATTATGCATAAACCAAACTTTTATCAAGGAAATATTGTCGAATAAAACTTTCTAATCAAAAATAGAATCAACTGGTGAAATCTGTTAATCACGTTGTGATATCAGTCAGCATAAATTAGCTAAGTGCTTCAAGGCTAATCCATCCAACAATCAGTGATAACTTACGAAAAAAGATATCAATTATTATCAAAAAAGTCGAAACACTTCGTAGACAGACAATAAAGCTCAAGGAAATAAGGGTAAAAAAAACTGCTGAAAACCACACAAAATGAATCTTCGTAGTTGTAAGGTTATTTTAGATGATGGAAACTAATTCTAACAAAATTAAGTTATATAAAATTCGAAAGAGAAAAAAATTTCCGATCAGTTGATAAGAAGATGATTGTTCCGACACATGTTACTGAAGAGATATGGATTTCATATTTTATATCGTTATTCTACATTATACGACAGTGTGAACCCATTTGAGAATGCTTCTCGTTTCTGTTGTAACATTTAGTATTGCTTCAGTACCTTTCCACCAAAAAGAAATAGGATCCAACATTTGTCCTATTACTTTCGCATCATGTGTTATATTCTTTTTCTTTGTCATATTCAAAAAAACTTATTTGATGCTCAAATACAACCAAATTTTACTTTACTTACTTCATATCTAGACTCATATGGACTGATTAGCTACTGTAACACATATAATACATTTATATGACTCTTATACGAAAAATGAACGAGAAATAAATTATAGATCTCTACAACAATTCTGATAAATTCTAAATTTTATTGTATACTCGATAAATAAGAACACTGTACTAATGCTTTAAAACATTTAAGCCCAAGGTAATCCATATGTTGACATTTACATATGTCAGCATATGATAGTTTATCTCTATGTCATTGAATATCTGTCAACAACTGCCTTTAAATAATAAATAATACGTAAACATATACATTCCTATATATATAGATACACTTTCGGATGTCCCCGGCTTTTGTATTGTTTCTCTTTCAAAACCAAGATTCATCATGACGCTTCATATTTCGACTGTTATGTTATTAATGATCAGTATTCTTACATCTCACGTATTTTCATATTGCATTCAAGGAGCACTTCAATCCGAAACAACGAGTATGTTATTTTATTTTATTAACATATCGTATATCTTTTTTGATTGAAAACTTTAGAATTTGGTAATACTGTTAAATATTGTGAATATAATAAAATCAAAGTATTACCTGGTGCTTCATTTAAATTAACTGCACCGGATTGTCTTGACTGTAAATGTTTAACAGGCGGTTTAGAATGTTGTGGTTATGGTTTTGCAACAGGCACAGTTTCAGCACCTGAAGGATGTATAGCTTATAATGATGCATGTAATTTGGTCTTTGTTAAAAAAGATAATGCATCTGAATTATGTTTCCCACCAAAACCTATGAAAAAAGGT